CGACTTCCCTGGCGCATTTGAAAGAAAATATCCGTCACGAAATGGCAGCCATCACTGAGTTCACCTGCCGAGCCGTCATAAGTAATTTTACTGTTCGATTAAATGAGTGCTGCGAACGCGAGGGTCTACATTTGGAGGATAATTTTTTTAAGAAATAAATGCCCAAATTGTGTACTTTAATAATTAATAAACATTTTTTCGATACACTGCTTACTTTTTTTTAAATCGATCTCCTAAATATAAACTTTCTTTTGAGACACCTTGTATCTTCTTCCGTATACCAAAAAAGTTATGTGGCTCAAGTCGGTCCGATACCGACAAAATGAATAATTCCACTTTTAAATATCCTCTTATTTACGTTTCCTAATCTTTCCTTAAAAGCTATATTTCTCCTCTTACCTATATATCATTCCTTTAATATCACATGTTCTTAATTTTCCCACCTAACCCCTAAAGTGTCTGGTTGATAGCAAGAGACTTGCGCGTAAGTGGGACTAAATGTATAGTCAGGAATGTGAGCGTTAAAGACAAGGAAAGCTTTACACAAACCCTATACGAGGAGCAACCCATCTGGCCAGCGTGATATAGTAGGCCAAAACCTCCTTTCTAAGGAGAGGCCTATGGCCAGCAGTGGACTATTGAAGACTGTTGATGTGTTGTGTGTGATGTGTGGGCGTTTCATCGTCGTCTCTACTTGATCACTGATCTACCAGGCACGTTTAGGTCAACTCAACCGGAGTGATTGCCTCAGGAAATCGGTGTTAAGCAAATTATTTGACGGTTTTCGCTGAGTGACTGAGATTACAACAATTTCTGAACATTTTTTTTTTCTGAACAATATTACATTGTATTGAAATGTTTACACTGAAAATCTTACACACGACCCTAACCTATCTTACATTTAATTTATTCATTTCATAATAATAATAATAATATGTATTTGCAGAAATGGGGTAATGGAAATGGGGTAGTCACAGTAGGTGGTTTACAATGTTAAAAGCACAAGACACGTTTCGCTATATTTAGATAGCATGCAAATTTTTTAAATGATACACATAAAATTATAATAAAAATAATTAAAAAAATTAAATTGATGACTAATTTGCTATTAAATTACATTACATTCCAATTGAAATGTAAAAAATATTTACTACACTAATGCATTTCTGAAGTGATATGACAGTAGAGTAAAAAAAATCATTGATGGAGTAAAAACACTTTGCTTCTAGCCAATTTGCCATATCAACACAGCTTAACCTTAAAAAAATTTAAGGCCAGGTACTGGTAATTTAAAATACGAGTATTTTTACGTTAGTTGGTATTGTCCTTGAGTTCAAAGAGCTCTTTAATGCACTTCACAGTGCGTTCATAGATGAACATGCTAGGGACCATCAACAGATTATGAGATACAAAAACCGACCTGCATGAATCTGTCTATTTCCAACCGAATATTGCACGAAGCAATTTATTTAGCGCTAAAAAAGCTCGTGTTATTTCTGACGAGTAACCCCAAATAATAATGCCGTAACGAATTATGAAGCAAACATATGCATTGTAGGTCATTAAAGCAGTCTCCCTTGAAGCAACCTCTTTAACTTTTTTCAATGCAAATACAAACTTATTGATCTTTTTGCAAACATTGCCTATGTGATACTTCCACGTCAGATGTTCGTCCACTGTAACACCTAAAAATTTTGTGCTCTGTATTTGTTCTATTTCTTCACCATTATACTTAACTGTAATATCCAATTGTTTTGTTTTTGCTGTATTAAGCCAATTTTTGATATTCTGATGTGTCTCATTTACTTAATTTTCACATAAATTTAAGTTATTACCACTGTAGTATCGTCTGCAAACATCATTTGTGATTTTGCATTGCTTGAGGGAGATCTTTGATTTAAATAAGAAATAGCAATGGCTCCAAAATACTCCCTTGCGGTACTCCGTAATAATTAAACCTAGATTCGAATAGAACAATTTAGTGCTACTATTGAATTTAGTTATTCTTGTAATTTGTCTTCGCTTGCTTAGATATTAATCTATCCATTTTAAGGCTATATCTCTTATGCCAGTGTTATACAGTTTTTAAATGAGAGAATCAGTACAGTTTGAATGAGTACATCATGACTCACAAAATCAATCGCTTTGTTTAAATCTAAAAATATAACGCAAAATGGTATTTTTTATTTATGTTGTTAATTATAGAATTTATTAGAGAAAATCTTGCATGTTGCGTAGATTTGCCCTTTCGAAACCCAAATTGTTCTTAAGCCAAAACGTCATATTTATTATAAAAACTAATCATCATTTTATTCACTACCTTTTTTTTTAAATTTAGAAAAAAATAGAGGTTAGGGCTATTGGCCCATAGTAATTTTTATTAGTTCTGAAACCTTTTTTGTGTAATAGTCTTATTATGGATAGCTTCAAGTTCTCTGGAAAACAGCCTTGTTCAAGTGATATTTTTTTATATACGCTAATAGTTCTGATATAAACTGAGATATGAGTTTAATTAGTTCTGTGCTAAAATCATCATGGCCTGACGATTTAGTGTTTTTCAGTGACTTAATTACATATATTGTAGTCTTCTATTGCATTTGTGGGTTCTAAAAATATACTATGTTCATTATTATTATTATGTAAATTATTACCGTTGATATAAGTGGAAGTGTTTATGTCATTTTGTATTATATTCCTTTCTACAATTTCAATAAAATAATTATTAAATACATTAGCTACATGAGGCCCCCAAATTATTGTAGCGTCGTTGTTAACAATCCTATCGATATATATGTGGAATGGTTGGTTACCAATACTGCGTTTAACAACATTCCAAGTAGCTCTACACTTGTTACTAAAGTAGGCAATATACTTTTTGTGACTGGTTGATTGTAGATGATTAATGCACTTTCTTAGTATATTTGAATACGTTTTAAACTTATTTTTATACTCGACAGTTCTATTGTTGTAGTATGGAAATCTTAATTTTCTCTTATTTTTGCTGCAAATCTTAAGTCCTTTAGTTAACCATTTTATATTATTACTTTTGTAGATTTTTTTAACTTTAAAGCATAGCCTATAAAACAGTTTTAACAAGTTATGAAACCTATCAAACGCAACCTATCAAAACCTATCATATATTCATTTTAAGTTTTCCGAGGCCGAATCTCCTCTCCTCCCTTTTTTGCACTTCAAACGTGGAAACGCATTTGTGTCTTTTATGTTGCAGGATTCTGCATGCTCGGTGGCATTTACTACCAGGCATATACCCATATACCCCTTTATTGCACTCAGTAGTCAGTATCACTAAAGTTGCAGAAGTCAAAGGTCGGCAGTCATATACCATCAGACGACCCGTCTTCTCGTTTCCCCCCCTACCATAAAAATTACTAATATCATTCCATATAAAAATCCCAATGCAGATATGGATTCATCAAAAAGTCGGCGTGCTCATACGTGAAGGTCACATCCGACATTTGTTTGCTGATTAGAGCACTCGTGATAAGATAATTCTCATATTGAAAATGAAATTTCAATGCCTCGGGAACATACTATTATACAATACAAACAATAATATTGGATGGCTTTTGGATCTCACAAAGAATTAGGACCCTAGTTGAGTTCTAATCACTCCACAAGGATAGAACGAAATTACCAAATCGAATTTTAGCTAATTAAACGAATGCCCACAATAGAAGTGTTATGTTTTCAGGGTTTATGTTTATTATGTGAGTTTCTTTAATCCAAGATAAATCCCAAATTCCTCGATGGAATATAATCCTTACATCATCTTAAGTGAGACTGCGTTTTTTTTTTGTAAAATGGTATTATAATGACAAGGTTTTAACTTTTCTTCATTCCATTTCGGGTATATTTCTGAATAGCTTTTGCCCGCGGCTCCGCCCCTGTGTATGTCGGGTATCGCGGTGAATATCCTATGTTCTTAATCAAGAAGCAAACTATCTCCATACAAAATTTCATCTGAATCGGTACAGCGGTTATTGATTCCCTATACAAACTTCCACCCCCTTTTCACCTCCTCAAAGGAAGGTTTCTGATATAAAAACTATCCTAAGACCTTTCCCGGGAACAAATCTTAAAAAAAAATCATCTAAATGGGACAGACACACTTTCGCATTGATAATATTAGTGTGGCCCACGCCTTTCTCGACACATTGTAATGATGGATAACAAAGTACCTTTTATTTTTTGTGCGGAAATCCGTCTCGGGTACCAGTAGCCGGGGAACTAGGTGTACCGTAGAAAGGAAATCCCTGGTAGGATGACAAAGTACCTATGTATGTATATATTTACAATAATAACTTCATAAATCTCACACTCACACTCACAAAATCACCCTCCAAAAAAAAAAAGAATTTTGGAAATCGGTTCACAATTGACGAAGTAATCGATGAACATACATAATAAAAAATACATACAGTGGAACATAGAACCTCCTCCTTTTTTGAAGTCGGTTAAAAATGGAGCTTGTACTGTGGTAACCATACAGTTGATAAACATACTTATATATTTCTAAATAAATACATGTTATATATAAATTACACCCGGACACAGAACTGTGGCGACTTCCACATACAAAGAAACAGAAACACACTACAGCGCCATCTAATGAAGACACACAGAACTAGGGAGTAACTACTAAAATAAGAATTGCTAATCCTGTATCGCGATATAAAGAATTCCCTCGCCGATTAACATATATACAACTACCCAACATCAACCGGGGCCGCGGCCCGCCAGGCATGATTACTTCGCCTGGTCGGAGGATCCTCCCTTTGTGTTGGAGGGACATGACACCCGTTCCTCCACAGAACAAAAGATCATGGTCACACAATTATTTGTCCTGGTTAGGAATCGAACCCACGACCAGTGTGTGTCAGTTAGATATCTTTAAAGAGTTCTAGTACTGTACCGTAGTAATAATACATACAAGTCAACTATTGTTAGATTTAGGACTTTACAGACAAGCAGTTTGATTTTTAGAATACCAACCTATTTCTGCCAACGGGGTGGATACTCCTGGGGAACAATGCAGCTAGAATTTTGAATGCAGCTAGAATGGCCGATCTAAGACCAGATTTAGCCGGTTCTCTATGGAGTCCTCCACAGAGATCGGCTAAGAGGTATAGGTTCTCCCCAGTTCTAAGACCGTACCAAGTGATTTTGACGATCGACGCCGCGTCTATCCAGGCTTTATCCGGGGGACTACCTTTGTAGGTTTGGTTGGTACCTGGTTTTAGTTTAGTTTTTAAGTAGCATTTGTTTTTACGCATGTTGGTATGCACTTACAAAAGCTCCAATCAAAAACAAATGTTTGAAAAAGCTGTGATCCTAATCGTTTTTAAAATAAGTTCGGTTCCAACCAACCGTACCATTTAAACATACCATATTATGGAAATTTCTGAAATATCTATTGTGATGGGCATGTCATTGTTGTCGTTACGACATACCCAAATATCACTGCAAATCTCATTATAATTGTGGTTTAGCGTTGCAAGGAGATACACTGTTCTATGTAACAGTGAAACATTGCAACTAACACCCGAAAAACAATGGCTAAACACAAATAGCGTATAATTAATACGTAATCGATGTCAAGCGAACATTTCGCAACTTTTTGCTAAACAGTTTAATGAATCAAGACAGTTTAGTTATCCTACAAAATAGTTTAACACTACAAATTTATTTAACTGTTCGTATTGTTGTTTAGTGAGCTAAGCTAATAAATTAACAGATAAAGACAAGCGGATTTAAGCTAGAATCGCAATGATTCTGAGAATTTAATCAAGCTTTAATCAGCTTTATGTATTTTTTTATTTTGTCACGATACGGTTGGTGTCCCGAATGCGAATCAATTTAATCCATAAGATGACAAGTCCGTCACAGATTATCAAAAATAAAAAATATTATTTTCATTTAATTTATGGTAGGTTTTTTCTGGTCTGGTCACAGATATCGGTTTTGGTAACATACATAAATAGTAGTCAAATGGAATCTCTAATCGTAAATCTAATAAGCACATACACACACACATTTGCATCTCTTTTAAATGCAACCTTTACTTATTTGTTCCCCTTGATCAAATAAAGTTTGTGCCACGACTTTTCATTTTATTTAATCTTACCTTTTCAAACATGTCAAATCAAAAGATCTCTGACCGGCTCGATCCCTTGGCGTTACGTAGAGATGTAGCTTCACTCTGCATTCTCTATCGTGTATATCATGGAGAGTGCTCCGACCAACTGCTCAGACTAATACCGGCTGCAATTTTCCGCCATCGTTCCTCACTGCAAAATTTTCATCCCTACCAGTTGGATAATTTGCAATCCACCACTGTGCGCTTTTCAAGACACTTTTTGCCTTGCACAACAAATCTGTAGAACAAGTTATCGTTTGCGGTATTTCCGGACCGATACGACTTTCAAGGAAAGAGCGTACTAGTTCCTCAAAGGCCGCAAACCACTTGTGACTCCTGAGTTGCAGGCGTTCGTGGGCGGCGGTAATCGCTGTCCATCAGGTGAACTGTCTGCTCGTTTGCCTCTTCCAAAAAAAGAAGGTCGCTGAGCCGGTTTGATCCTGCTTTAGTTCCTTTATGGGCAACCAACCAGTCTTAAGACGAAACCTACAGAAGTTCTAAAACAAAGAAGGGTAACTTCTGTTTCTATAAATAAAACATACTCCTTAAGTGTGTTTTGTTTATTTATTGCATCGCATAACAGTAAATTAATAAAAGCAGAACAACAGCAGTGTAGAGAATAAAAACTTTAAACCCTGTACCAACCCGTCTGGCCAGCGTGGTGTGGTAGGCCAAAACCTCCTTTCGAAGGAGAGGCCTATGTCCAGCAGTGGACTATTAAAGGCTGTTGATGTGATGTGTGATGTGATAACAGTAAATTATATCGTATAACAGTGATTAGCATAGAATTCATTAGAGATTACCAGTAGTCAAAAGTTGTTGTGTGGCTGTAGCCTGCAAAAATGTTGGTAACACCATTGCTGTCATTCGTGTGATGATGGCCGTATTCCATCCCATTAGCAGAATCATACCTTGACACACGTACACTATAACTATACATAGTAGAACATATGATAGTAATGTCTGCACGAATGAAAGATGATCTATCTGCGCTAGGAGTTAGCAGTGAAATGATGAATGATAGATTCGAATAAAAATTGCGAAAATATTTGGCAAATAGTGCTAACGGCAATCATTTACAGAGGTCTTCTAGTTTGAAATTACAGTGCGCTATGTATTCTTTTTAATTACCATCGTAATTTTCGCTTGATAATTTATTATAAAGGAGATATTTACCATATTTATTTTCGGGAATTACTTTCCAATGATACGCTTGAAACAGTTCAGGAATATTGAAAACTAATTGAAAAATAATTGAAAATAAATTTAATATCCCGTTTATTATAACTTTTCAAACACAGTGTTCTACTTTTTTTTACAGTGATTTTTTCTCATAAAACTTTTTATTAAATTGGTTGAGTTTTTGCTATCAGTATGAATTACGGTGATTTGCGTAAAGCGTCATTTAATTTAGTTTCCATTACGAACGTGTTCTAACGCGCAGATAAAACCGCATCGACATGGTTCGGTGCTTATTCCGCTGTGGTGTTTTTTAGCTAGTTTTATGGCTTGGTGTACGACAATGCTGCGTTTTTTTGGAAACAAAGTAAATGTCTCCTTTCTCCGGCGTGATCTTCGAGGTTAGGAAGCAAAACTAAAGAAATTCGCGATGCTATAAGGTTTAAAATAAATTCTATGGGTTTCTATTTTATACCTGGTTATATGAATGCTAAGATATCACCGGATCCTGGTGGGAGATTTTGATTTAAGTAATCTTTACTAAAAGTCAGTTCACATATTACGTTCGACACTGTCTCTTTTTTTTTCTTGTAAGTGGTTCACATTTTGACTTGCTCTGTTTCTCTGCGGCTTCCTCCAATGAGCAAACTGTAAAGTAGAATACCTAACAGATAGTTTCGCTTTTTCGGATTCTTTCAGAGTAAATCTAAGTTTAGATTAAACTATAAACAACATATAGTAACGATGCGTTTTCGGGATTGCAAAAGAAAAAGATGGTGCCAAGAAGAGCCAACAAACTCTTTGCAATAAATCAGCTATCCTCGTATCTTCTGCAGTTGGAACCCGGACTGAGAATCTCTCATCTCAGGCAGGATGTTGCAGTAATATCGCTCCCTCCGAAAGGATTGTTGTCATGCATTCCGTGAAATTTTACTCAGCTTGTCTGTTGCCATTGCCTCTTGATCTAATTTTCACATTCAGTTCTTAGCATGTTAACCGATTAATTATATCACATGGCACGTCTTTTACACTTATTTCTAATTGCATCCGCTTTTATCATTTATCGTCTCTGTTCGATGTATTACTGACATCGAAAATATGAATTGAATACGGTCAGGCCGCGACGCATTAAACATAGTTACTAATTTTTATAAAATAAAATAGTGTACTTTTCGGCACCGTCGCGAGAGAGTGCATTCATAACAATAACAAATTAAAAAAATTACTTTCTTATAAACATATTAACATTTCCCATTAACTTTAGTATCATTAGGTACATTTCACATGATCTGAAATAACATGGTCCGGGTCCTTCTCGGAGTAGGGCGCTTGAGTCCGGCCGTCGGGGTGGGTTTTAGTGAAAACACCACATACTCCTGGCTCCTACAGCCCCAAGGAGCCGGAGATCCGAAGGGATTTGAAACCCCGTCAACAAAAAAAAGTTACATTTCACATAGTATGGTGTCATAGTTTTTGAACATTTTTGGATAGTTTATATAATAATAAACAATTCTGTACCTGTGCAAATTGCACTCCAAACAGTCCCTCCGTATATAGTAGTAGAAGAAAGCGGTTCTATGACTTTGGTCAAGTCTAATATATTAGTCAAATCGGCAATTCGTCAAATTTGATATTGGTAGAATCGATAGTTCGTCAAATCGTATTTTTGTACAATTATGAAATTTGCCAAATACGCCATTAGTCAAGTTTATGTACAGTCGATGGAAACATGCGTTTTGAATTCACATTTTTTTTTTATTAATTGTAGAAACGTGATCTTACAACAGGGTAAGCCGCCTGTTTTGGAAGCCTACCTACATTTTTATAAATTTTACAGTTGCATCTATGGTGAGCTATCCACCCGACACCCGACCAGCACCACCTCGTCACTCTGTGTACACTCGTTGTCGACGGATGGTGCGCGAGTGGACGCCGCGTTGTTAACAAAGAAATGATACGACAGACAGTTTCAAGGGGGAGCGGTGTATCGCCGATGCATCGACCTCGCGCATAGAACACTGATGGCGCGCGTGCAGAAAATGCGGGCGAGGAGCTCCGAAGTTGATGGAGTGAGCGTTTACCCATAGTACTACTCGTATTACAAAATTAACCGCTCGGAGCGAGGCGGTGCTGGTCGGGTGTCGGGTGGCTGTATGTAATGAGCTATGTATGACCTTTAATTTGTTTCAATTTATTGTTACATCCTTTGAATCTGTTAGAATAACCTAGGCGAAAAAAAAAAAATTGTGTGTGAAATTGCGTTACAATGTTTAAAACAGTTGTGTTGTACTTGTATATACATTCTATGAAATTCATACCCAACCTAACACAACTGTTTTAAATACCTTCTCATCTAATGTTCCACTATATTATAAAAATAATTTGAAATATGAATTTAAAATTTTAAAACATGATTTAATCATTTTAAATATAAATTAAATTAAATGAATTTAAAAAAACAAGTCAATATAAAAAAAAATGTTTACTTTTATTTTCATACTAAATTGTACTTCAATTACTTGACTAACGGCGTATGTGACAAATTTCATAATTTGACAAAAAGACGATTTGACGAACTACCGATTTGGCCAATATCAAGTTTGACAAATTGCCGATTACACAAATATCAGACTTGACCAATGTCGTCACACCAAAAGGTAACATAGAGCTTGAATCTTCATTAGATATACAGCTGTCCTCTCTTCTTGAAAATATTATATAAATACCTCAGACAAGATAAAACTGATTGATTGATTGTAAAAGTGTCAGGGGTTAAAACGGTGGGAGCAGAGGGAACATGGGGTTCCCACACGAGGGGGGGGGGGGGGGGTCGTCTACTCGTCTGTAGATGGCCCGAGGTATGTCGGGGCACCAGGGACTTCCTTTCTAGGGTATACCTGGTTCCCCGGCTATTAGTACCCGAGACGGCGTGCGGTTTTAGTCGGTTCGAGTCCGACATGCCACCGATAGGTGGTATCCGAGGGGATTTACGCAACAAAAAGAAAAAAAAAGGGGGGGAAACGGTTGAAAACGGTCTGAAACGTTACGAGTTATTATTAAGAGCAGTAGACATATTGATGACCCTCATACGTAAATATACATACTGCCATCTAGTGAAAATACGCCAAACTAATTATATGAATTAGTTCGGTGTATTATTATTGATGCTTCTGAATCGCGAAATGAAAGTTGTGACATTATCTTTTTCCTTTCTTTTTCGCTAATTTAGATATAATGTCCATACTTACTCTTCTTAATGCAAAGTTAAAAAATGTTTTGCTATACTTAGAAAATAACAATAGCACATGTATTACGTAAGACAATGCAATTTGATATTCGTACTGTGATGGCAGCGTTTCCTGCGCACGTGCTCTGTCACTTCCGGATATGCGCACGCGCATGGCAATAATACGAGTAAGTTATGATGGATATAAAAAAATACCAAAACGTCTATAAATCACTCAGACTTGTCGTGTCATCGTCATCAATAGCCTTGAATAGTCCACTGCTGGACATAGGCCTCTCCTTAGAAAGGTTTTGGCTTATTATACCACGCTAGCCAGACGGGTTGGTATAGGGTTTGGGTCAAGCTACGAATAATAATATTATTCGTAGGTGTCAATTTTTCCTTCTCTTTGTAGTGATGTTAGATTGCGTAGTCTGCTCCCTCAGTCGGCTCTTCGTCGCCTCGTCGGCTTTGATGTAGCTTTCACGCAATTCTTAAGTTTTCTTCTTTTAACCGACTATATAAAATATAAAACTATGTCATTTTTTTTAATCCTATGTCGTGGGGAGTTTTACACACATTTAATGAATCTGACAAAGAACTCCCAGATTCAGAACAACAATTTGTGGATCACACAAAGTGTTATTCCTTGCGAGGATCGAATCCACAACACTCAATGCTGAAGGAAAGCGGTGAAGTGACCGCATAAGCCTGTGCAGTCAAAGTTTGTTTGTTAGTCATAAGTATGTGTTGCATTATGTGAAGTATGCACATGCATGGTAGTTCCTATGGATATTTACATTGTTGAGTTGATAAATATAGGTATTAATTGAAGTAAATAAATAATTGCACGACTGCACGGATGGCGTAGTGTCTGTGGTGGGGTGTATTATTAGAGAATAATATTAGTGATTTTATCGGTCACCTCACCGCTTCTTACTGCGCCGAGTGAAGGTTCGATTTCTATATGGGAGAACATTTTGTGTGAGTCAAAAATTGTCGTTCTGAGTCTGGGTGTTCGTATCATGTATGTTTGTTAACTCCCCCGCGACATAAGATATAAATTCTAGTACGGGAGTTGTTCTAAAAAAGAATACATAATTTTCAAACTTCTGTAGTACATTATTTCATAGCAGGATTAGGGCCGGAGTGATCCGTCTTTTAGTTTGCCTTCTGTCCAAAAAAAAGTTGATAACATCTGTTTAGTTTGACTAGGTCACCAGTCGTCACATTTATGAAACAAAAAGTTTACAAATTTGTTAGGTACCTACTTAATTAAATTAAGAAACATAATATATGTTACTGTTTAAAAAATTTCAACAATATTAATTATTTAAATCAACCAAAGTGTAGTAATACACATTTCTCATTATTTGCGAATGATTACTTAAAATAAGTCATTGAACTAAATCTACTAATTAACTGTCATAGCGCACAATCAGTACCACATTCGGCCGAGGCACCGGAAGGTTGACAAACTGTAATTGCTGTGCGTGCGCAGGATTTGTAACAATTCTGTTATGTTTACTCGTGTGTAGTACAAAATTTAATTGACTACCTTTTGCAGAAGCTTAAATCGCTTTTGTGGCCCTAGTAAACAGTATTTTAACCTGTTAACTTTTCTGAAAACTGACGGAAGCAGTCTTATCACATCACATAACATCAACAGCCTGTAATAGTCCACTGCTGAACATATAACTCTCCTTAGAAAGGAGGTTTTGGCCTACTATACCACGCTGGCCAGACGGGTAGGTATTGGGTTTGTTTCAAGTTTTCCTTCTTTTTACAGTGCTATTGTCCTGCGTAGTTTGCTCCCTTAGTCGGCTCTTACGAAACCCACGGGATGAAAAGGGGTGGTGACACTTCGAATTCTTAATCCGTCACCAAGCAGCCTACTTACTCAGAACTTCACTGATTTAGGATGAAAATTGATTGAAACCCTAATTGATTTTTAATCGAATCACCAACATTTTTGACATCACTAATCTATTACTTATCGAATAGTCAGAAAGAACTCGTCTAGTTAAAATGATTAAGCGCCTGTATTAAAGAAATAGCAACGTAATCAAGATCATTAGGAAGACATCTCTTATTAAGCAGGCGTTTCTTTTTAAATTGTCATTGAACCAAAACGATGACAGGAAAATCAATGTGTTCGTATTTTCGGCAGTACCGTTTTCATGGAATGGAGTGATGTTCTATACTTATGTATTAGGTAGAAGTTCCATCTTTATCTTGAAATTGTACTTTTCGTCATCATTATCATCAAAAGCCTTTAACAGTGCACTGCTGGACATAGGCTTGTCCTTAGAAAGGAGGTTTTGGCCTACTATACCACGTTAGCCAGACGGGTTGGTATAGTTTGTGTCAAGATTTCCTTCTCTTTTCAGTATTGTTGTTCTGCGTAGTTTGCTCCCTTAGTCGGCTCTTACGACACCCACGGGATGATTTGGGTGGTGACATTCCGTATTCTTAATCCGTCATCACACGGTATTTTACACGAGCAAAACCGCAGGCACTAGTCACTTTATAATAAGAATTTAATTAATTTTATGTATTTTAATTTAATTTTAATTTTTTATTTTAATAATTTAATGTAATTTGTACGATATATTGTTAAATAAAAACTTAACATAAATATATTTATTTAAATTAAGTATTATAATATAATGTTTAGATGACAAATTATACAAACAAATTCACAGAAAAATCCTCGAGAAAATATCTCTTGATAAGGTCCACATTGCTTTGTGGGCTGTAGAAGAGATTTAAACGATCCTGGTCGGATATAACCAAGTGTACTAAGTCATTACTTAGTCAAGATAAAAACTCGAATATATAGGCTATGTTCTCGTTATTAAAAAAAAATTCAATAAAAATGAGCAGTCCTTTAGGCTCTTTTTATCCTATGACACGATCACCTATCTCACTCTCTTCATACCACCTGTCACAAACCGCCTTTTGTTTAAATTTCAAAGAGCTTTGATTACTTTTTCTTTGCACTAGTAGTTTTCGGTGGTGTAATCTTCCCTGGTGGGGTCGCCTTCGATGGTGGGGTGTTAGATGGGCTCACAGCACCAGTCAATATGTAATTATTCACACGACTCTTCAGGGCTTGGTAGAAGGAGTTGTCTTGGCTCAATTGTGGTATGACTGATAATCGTTTATCGGATTCCTGTAGAGACATGGATATTTTGTTTATTTAACTACTTATTTATTTATATACACTTATGTTTTATATCTAAGCAGAGTTTACTTCAGAAAACCATAGCTTAGTCGGGTAATAATTGGCAGAGTAAAAAATACTATCATGGATTTGACTTTTAACTCACGAGGTTGTAGATTTTTAACATTTATTGCTTATTTAAGTAATTGTTCCTTTTTTCCCAATATTTATGATCCAATACCATATTTACGAGTATTTAATGAAAATGACGAATGATAGGGTGCAATGCAGAAGACAACCTACTGCGCTGACCAAAAGTTAACAGTAACTTTACACATGTCACACAGTACCGTCTGATCTCTCTAGACATAGCCTGCGCCATTGTAGAAAGACTGCTCATAAACATACTTCAATATCTCTAAATATATTATAGACTAGCTGGTACCCGCGACTTCGTTTTCGTAGAAATTTGAAAAGCACTGCCTTAGTGGCTTCGATTCCCAGAGGAAATTCCCTCTAAGAGGAAATATAGCCTAAGATTCTCCTTATGTAGACAGCTACCTAGAAAATATTACCAAAATCAGTCCAGCCGTATAGCAGATTACCTAAACAGACAAAAAAAAATGGTTTTTAAGCAGAGGCATCGTGCAAATAACCGTGTGAGCATAAAAAAAAACTATTATTTTGACATTACAAACAGACGCTTCAATTTTATTTATTTGTATAGATATACTAGCGACCCGCCCCGGTTTCGCACGGACGCAAATTATTAGACATATAAACCTTAATCTTGAACCACTCTCTCTATTGATAAAAAACGCATAAAAATCCTTTGCGTACGTACTGTGAAAAGATAACACCCACACAAACGCCTGTCCCTATAAGAAGATCGGATATGCAATTTTATTGGTTTTGCTTTTATTTTACTATTACATATTTTACTATGACATAAAAAGCAATGTTTTTCACCAGCTTAAACAAACAGTCAATTTTTCCTCCGTTTTTGAAATAGCCATGTTAAAAAAGTATTTAAATATATATTTAAAATGGAGCAATTTTAAACTTTGACGCGTTCCTGTAAAATTGCTGATTTGCATATCCTACATTCTTAATAGGAATGGGCTCATCACATAGTTATTTGTTCTGGGACTGAATCAAACCCTCTGGCTTAGCAGTGAGGGTTAGTGACCATAAACCAACAGGCCCTTCAAAGGGGGAAAGAAGTCAGTAAATGATGAACTGATACGAACTCTAAACTTACCGGTTTAAGTACGATTAAATAATATGTCCGCTTGTGCTCAAATAGATTGGTCGCGTACGCGAACGTGTCCAATTCGAAGAGCCCCTTCAGTAGACCATTAGCTTCAGACAAATCGAACTGGGTGAAAGTACCTAACTTGCATTTCTTCCTAGAAACAAACAGAACTAGTCTTTATACCAGACAGTTCCAATTTGAGCTGGACGGTTCCAATTTGAGCAGAAATCTGCTGTACCCAGCCTTTTTTACGGCATTTATTTTCACTAAGCTTTTGCTCACGACTTCGCCTGCTTATATGTCGGTAATCGCGGTAAAAATAGCCTATGTATTTCACATAGTATCTCTCATCCTATCTTTTAATCAAATGCATGACCTTTCATTAAAATCGGTACAGTGGTTTAGCTGTGGTATTTTTTTTTCATTTTTCTGTTTGAAAATGATGAAAAATGATATCACAATGAGTAGGCAGACCATTTTATCGAAAACAATATAATAGATACCAAAAAACTGCAATGTAATAAATCAAACAGCCAAAACGCGCGGGGCCTTCCTTCGGGCCGCCATTTTGTGTTAGTGTGCGTACTGTTTGCACGGAATACGCATATAGTTATTACTTTTGTTCGATACCTACGGGGAATGACCTTAACCTTTGACAGATTGCATAAAAAGAAAATTCCAATGATTTTCGACTCAGAATGATGGTCTGAATACACTATTTCAGGATTCGTTACGATGTCCCTTACACCGTGTATATGTACGAGTATATATACCAGTTGTCTAGTACCCACTTTTTTTTTTTTACGTGTGGAAATCCCCTCGGACCGTCACCCCACCGGTGTTTGCGGCGGGATGGTGTGTCGGAATCGGACCGACTAAAACCACGCGGTGTGCCACTCTGCGCCTGTAATAGGAGGGATCCGGGAACAGCTGTTATTAAGACATCCGGACCATTAAGACATCCGGACCAGTTGTCTAGTACCCATAGTACAAGCTCTGTTTAGTTTGGGACTAGACTTGTGTAAATGTGGTAAAAAAAGAAAGAGTTACTTTACATTTATAATATTGGTAGGAAAAGAGTACCCTACTATTGTTAATGGACACGGGTTCCGATATTGTCGTTCTCTACCCTACCCATGAAATGAAGGAAACAACACTATTCTACTACTACTACCACCCTAATCAGATAATTGACTAACTCAGTCGGGAGTCCCCAATTAGAACAGTGATTGGCTGTACTCTGTTCACTTTCACTAATTAAATCAATTAACATGCTAACATATTTCACCCCGTGGCCTTTCTGATCTCTTTCTAAAGTATGTCGTATATAGGGTGATAATTAAACATTGTACAAAATAATATTCTATTTATGATGTACTAGCTGAGACCCGCGGTGTTACCCGCGTTTGTTGTTATAACCGCGGGCAACGCCGCGGGGCGAAGCTAGTCTAAAAAAAGTAGCCTAAGTTACTCCTTATGACATCAGCTATCTGCCAGTGAAAGTCCCGTCGAAATCGGTCCAGCCGTTCCAGAGATTACCCGGAACAAACAGACAGACAGACAAAAATTGTAAAAAATGTTATTTTGGCATATGTACCGTGTAAACATACATATGCATTTAGTAAAAAGCGGTTATTTTAATATTACAAACAGACACTCCAATTTTATTTATTTGTATAGATACGTTATCCGTCTGGTGACGGATTAAGAATACAGAGTGTCACCACCCCTATTCATCCCAAGGGTGGACTACTAAAGGCTGTTGATGATGTGATGGGAATGTATAAAATGTAACAATATATTTAACAACGGCCTCGCAGACGGGTCACCTGATGGGAAATTTCTACCACCGCCATGGAAACCAGCAACTGAAGAGACACAAGTCCGTTCCTGCCCTTTGAGTCTCTTCCCCCTAGAATTGTGGACGGGTGAGGATGTTGGGCCCACAGTAACCTCACTAACTCAGTGAAAATAATAATAATATTTATAATATTTATAATATCGTCCGTGTGGTGACGGATTAAGAATACTGAGTGTCGCCACCCCTATTCATCCCGTGGGTGTCGTAAGAGCCGACTAAGGGAAAAAACTACGCAGAACAACAGCACTGCAGAGAGAAGGAAAACTTGACACAAACCCTATACCAACCCGTCTGGCCAGCGTCGTATAGTAGGCCAAAACCTCCTTTCTAAGGAGAGGCTTATGTCCAGCAGTGGACTATTAAAGGCTGTTGATGATTTATAATATTTCGGACATTTAACACAAAGCGCCATCTAGTTTCAAACTAAGCAGAGCTTTTACTATGAAAGCTAGATTGACTAATAGAATACTTATATACTTTTTTTTAAATACATACAATATTATACATAGAAAACACCGAAACTCCGAAACAAATATTTGCAGATCATACAAACATTTGGTCCGAATCAAACCCGAGATCTCAGCACAGCAGTTGCACTCGCTACTACTACCCTACCAAAACAGTCAGTATCAGTATGAATGAATTGCTAAAAACCGAGTTTCTATGAGGTCTAAGTATCACTCCAGTAGAGCTGCGCATTTATGCCAAACCTCTCCCAGCAGAAAGTGAGTTATTAGCTATTAAATTACCTAATGTATTCGAGCATGACCCTCACTTGGCAGTTCGGGTTTACCAACAAGGTCTTCTCCACTGATGGATCCAGTTCCGAAGAGGAACGTCGTAAATAATGCGATAATTCCGGCGCATCTTTGTACATTACAAATATAAACATTTTGACAGTGACAGATAATAGTTTTTTTACTGACGAATGTTGCTATTGTGTAAGGCGTTTATGTACTGTTACTAATTTATAAAAAAGTAAACTTTAGGTAAATTAAATATTATGGTCTGTTGGTAAACGTATTACTTTAGATCAAAGCTACTTAAATGGTATAAAACAATGTCGCTTTGTACGTCTGTCTGTATATTCGCTAAAACTATGCAACAGGTTTGGATGTGGTTTTCACCATCAGTTAGAGAATTTTCCTAAAAAGGTTAATAAAAACACAATTAAGTTTTTATTTAAGTAGAACCAACTACTTTTGCAAAAATTATTTCACATTTTTTAGGCTAAACAGTAAGAGTAATATCTGTATAAATAAATAAAATTTAAGTCTGTTTGTAATGTCAAAATCATAGCTCACACGGTTATTTGCTCGACACCTGTGCCTAAAAACCAGTTTAAATAATTTTTATCTGTCTGTCTGTTTGTTCCGTGTAATCTTTAAATCGACTGGACCCATTTTAATAATATTTTACTACTATGTAGCTAACTATATAAGGTTCTATATATTGTATGACTATAAGTGTAAGAGATCCGGAGATATAGCGTTGGCTACGTTGGCTTAAGGCTCAAGTCAGCAGGACCTTTTTTTTCGGAAATGGAAATGGCAAAAAATTTGCAATTTTTTTTATTATGTTAGCGTGGGCAGACGAGAAGACCGGTCACCTGACGGAAAGTGACTATCGGCGCCCATGAACGTCTGCAACTCAGGAGTCAAAAACGCGTTGCCGGCCTTTTAGGAAGGAGTACGCTCTTTTCCTGAAGGTTTGAAGGTCGTATCGGTCTGGAAATACCGCAGACGATAACCCGTTCCACAGATTGGTTGTGCGGGGCAAAAAGTGTCTTGAAAAGCGCACAGTAGTAGAGCGCCAACTAACCAGGTAATGAGGATAAATTTTTTGCCGTGTGGAACGATGGCGGAAATTTGCGGCTTGTATTAGTCCGAACAATTCCTCATTAAGCAAAAAAATATGGTGTAAGTTTTATTACGGTCCTATGACTTGGCTACGCTAGCTTCATAGACACCGGTAAATGTAGGGTACAGGAAAGGAAACCTGAAAGAAGAAAATTTAAACGAAATAGAAAAAAAAAAGTTTTTATTTCATAAACAGTTATTTCCTAGTAATAATATTGAAATTTTGATTCTATCATTTAAATAGTCAGTCATATGTGTAGCAGCGTTTTTGTAATTTAATTTTGTTTTGTTTGTTGATTTAATTTACAATTAAATATTTTTCCTGTACTTTTATGTCCGCAATTTATTGTAGAATTAAACAAACATGCCGTACAGACTTCCTGAATACATGTTTTAATCGGGATTCTTATAAATTTGATATGTTTTTAATGTCTTAATGTATATTATATTTTTAAATAATATTTTATTAAGTATTACCTTTTGTGGCCCGTGTATTTGTCTGTTATCGCGGTAAACGTTAGCCTATATTACTCGCTGATAATGTAGCTTTCCATTGCTGGAAGAATTTTTAATAGTATTTTAGGCATGAAAGCGTAACAAACAAAAAACTCATTTAGCTAACTTATTGGTTTCTGAAATTAATAATAATAATTAATGATTTTACATAGGAACCTAATGTACAAATTATCATTTTTATTGTAAAGTGCCCTGTAGCCTACGTTAATCATTGTTTGTTTTTATACCTGTCTTAACTTCACTTTATCTGTGAAAGTAAAAATGACTTTGTAATGTAAAGGAAAAGTGTAATAAAATTAAGTTAATTAATTAATTAACATACAAGGTAGTGGTAAAATGTTTATAAACTATCTATTATCAGAAAATAGTGGTCCTAATTAGGACCCACGCGTTTTGTACGTTGGTGGCGTACCTACCTCTTGTTTGATTATAATATCACTAGCTTTTGCTACCTAAATTAAACTACCCTATGTCCTCTCCCGGGACTCGGACTATCTCTACACCAAATTTTATCCAAATCGGTTCAGCGGTTTAAGCGTGAAGTAACCGACACACTTTCGCATTTAAAATATTAGTATGGATATATATCAGGACCATTCAGCCTGAATCGCTGTTGGCGCCGTTCTGCCTAACCTCGAAGCTTGGATAGGTAGGGAGGAAGGTCGCGTCACCTACCGACCGACGCAGGTACTTACTAGGCATGGTTGCTTCGGTGTTTCGGAAATCGGCCTTGGGGGTGTTTTTTTATGGAAAATATACATACTCCTGGCTCTTGTGTCCCCGAGGAGGCAGAGATCCAGAAGGATTTTCCACCACGTCAACAAAAAAAGTACCGCTGTGCAATTTAGATCCAAAGAAGGCATAGCTTGTACTACAATAATTGTCCTGGATAGTAATACAACTCACGATCTCTGGCTAAGCACTCAGAGTCGCTAACCACTAGACCAACAGACCAGTGCATACTTATAACATAACTTCGCACTAGGAACTTAATAGGTGTGTGTATCAGGAAGCCGCAAGATAGGAAAAAAAGGTTTGAACCTGTACTTTATCGTTATGTAAATAGAGGCTATCTATTTGGGTGAAATGGTATTTATTCCTGCAAGTAAATCTTTCAAGATATTTTTACAAGTCGAACTTTACATCTAGAAGGTTTCCTAAGACTCGCTTTGGGAAGAAATGACAAAATAATCCACAGAGCTGTCTTTTTTTTTTAGTCTGTGTATGTTAAAAAGAATGTGTACTATGTAAGTGCAGTATAGGGTCTGGGTTAGCCTTTTGAAGAAAGGAAAATAGTATTGTGTCGGCCCGTCCATACAGACAGCATACGATCCCCAGCCATTGTGTAGCCTGTAAAATATGAACTTACATTACAAGCCTACATATTACTCACATTTACATACTTAAAAATATATGCTATACATTTCAATTTCAAATAAACTAGTTAAAAACAAAGGAAATACCAATTACAACAAAACATTAAATGTTCATCACTTTCAAATGTGGGAGTGAGCAGTATCAATCCCAAGCAAATTTGTCTTCTAAATAATCTGTAACCGTGTAGTAAGCATTTCACATAGTTTTTGTTTAACTAAGGACTTAAATTTGTAAAAACTTAATTCATTAAATTTACTTGGCATTTTATTGTAGAACCACACACCCTGACATCGAAAAGAATTGCTTAATTTTTGTAGTCTAGTCGTTGGCAACACGAGTTTATCTTTATTTCTATTGTTTATTTTATTATGAATGTCGTTAAACTTTGTGAATATATGAATATTTTTCCTAACACACACTAAATTTTCATATTTCATATGTATATTTAGATGCGATGCGACACGTCATAATACCAATTTCTTTAAACTTATCCCTGAGTGTCTGCCCACAACTGAGGTTATAAATTGCGCTAAAAGCTCTCTTTTGCAACACAAAGATACTTTGAATGTCAGCAGCATTTCCCCACAACAAAATAACGTATGACATTACACTATGAAAATAGCTAAAATACACTAGTCTAGCTGTTTCTACAATTTTATAAACCGCGTATGCTGCAGAGCTAAGTCTATTTGACAAACCATCAATGTGTGGGCCCCAATGCAATTTAGAGCCTAGAGGTATACCCAAAAACTTAGTGTCCACAAGAAAATGATTATAGGTTAGAGAGATATACACGAAAACTATATAGGATTAACCACTTGGCCGTGTCTGAACGTATGATCGGCCGCCTATGAGTCCTCATATGAAAACAGAACCCTATTCCATTACCATTAAGTTGAAACTAAATTAACCAAACCAATCATAAGATACTTCGTAAGTTTGTTTTGGTAGCTTTAATTTTGGCAATTGCATATCTGTTATCAAACTAATTCTCAGCTCCCCAATTTATAAATAAAAACCCGCCAAAGTGATTATCTGCAAGTTTTATTATAGTGACCTATCATTAATTGTGTTAATAACATTGACCTATTTACACATATTAAGATCTAAGATTTATCCGAAGCAGACCTCAGATTATTTTAATAAATTAAAGTTACCCGCCATGTCTCAATATTCAATTGTACGCACAACGCAAAATAAAATATTACAATGTGTACATCACGCCGGTAAAGGTCATCGTACACAGACTCAGCCTTGACCGCAAAAGTGTTGCGCTCACTCGCATTCGTTTCTCAACTCAAAGAATCTAACTAAAACGATTCATATTTCTTAAGAGAGTTGCAACAGCCAGCGGTCGCGCCGCGCCGATGCATTCGCAGAGCCGCGCTCGCGTAAACCGACACCCGCGTCCGATAACGTGCCCCACACTCGTGCCGGCACGCTCGACATTTGCACGCATTGTAAACAAATAACGTAATCGGTTCGCGAATCGAAATCAACATTCGAATCGAATGAACCGTTTAAATGGAATTCCAAAAAAATAATAAGCGGGAACGTACTGTCAAAAATTGAAATGACAATAAACAAAAATTAACTTTTTAAATAGTGCTGTGAAAATATAACTATGAGTACATCTAGTGTTTCGAATTTGGTGACTTTTGGAGTGGCTGCCTTTCCTCCTCCGGGACCTCTCCCCACTTCCTTTCAGTTTCATCATCAAGGATCAAATTTTGCAGTGTTTTTAATTTTATTCGCACTATGCATGATGGAGGTGGTGGTCCTGAGGATTATCACTGAGGAGCAGGCAAGAGAACAAGGTTCAAGAAGTGTAACATCGATGTGGTTTGACTTAGACGATGAGTGACCTATGCAGCTATGGGAAAAGTGCTAATCACAAATAAGTTTGAGACTCTTTGGACCGACTGAGTGAAATCTACTACATACTCGTAGGTGTAATTTAGAAAAACTTTGTCATTCAAATAATTCGAAACAAGAGATTCTAAATTTCTATCATTACGGGTTAATGTTAATTTTGTACATTATATAGTTAGTTAATTGTTTATAGACTGAATAATATTTTTTACATTAGTTTTGGAAATCCATAATAATATAATATTTTTGTACATTTACTTGCCTTTATTTGTAAATAGAAGCTTTTAAACCAGTAAAAATATATTTTCCTTAATGTCATCAAAACTATTTTGTAATGCGTAAATAAATTTTAAAATTAAATATAATTGTTATATAGTTATTTTACAAATAAATAAAAAGGAGTTACGTTAGTTTGAAGGTTATTCGTTATTTGATCATACCTTTTCTTCCGGTTTATTGTTAGCAACACAACAATCATAAAAAATCTAACGAATCTTTTAAAATAAACAAGGAATATTAAAATCCTTGTCATTTTATTAAGTGGTTCATGTTAATAATACAGTCATCATCAACAGCCCTTAACAGTCCACTTCTGGACATAGGCCTTTCCTGAGAAAGGAGGTTTTGGCCTACTATACCACGCTGGGTTTGTTTCAAGTTTTCCTTCTCTTTGCAGTGCTGTTGTTCTGCGTAGTTTGCTCCCGTAGTCGGCTCTTACGACACCCACGAAATGAATAGGGGTGGTGACACTATGTATTGTTAATCCGTCACAACACGGATGAGATGTATCCTGCGGCAAAAGTAATACTAGAATCTAGTAAGATAGCCCATATTAATTATACCCCTAACCACATGTAACCATGATCGTGAACGTAAAAGGAAGTCGTGGAACACTCCATGGGAACGAAGTTATGAAGTTATGTTATGAGAATTCACATCACACATCACATCACACATCAACAGCCTTTACTAGTCCACTGCTGGACATAGCCCTCTCCTTAGAAAAGAGGTTTTGGCCTACTATACTATGGGACTACTGGGACTATACTACTATGGGAATTAAGCTACGCTATTTGACAAATATTTCATTTATGAATTTTGGTCAAGGTATTTATCAAACAGTAATATTTTGCGTATATTTTTTTAATAAAATAGTTAAGGTGTTTTTTTACAACTTTTGTTAAAATAAATTATCTATTGTTTGCGTGTAGTATTTTCCGTTCTACGTGCACTAAACTCGTACTAAGTAAGTATAATCTGTGTACATATTATTTTAATGTTTCGGTGCGACGAGATGTAGGCATAGATTGGGTAAATTTTGTAAATAAATTTAAGTGGAAATATATTTATGTATCGGTATAGGGTTTGTTTCAAATAATACGGTATTGTATGAAAATTACCAGTACTGAATTATATTTTTACAGATGAATCTGGTACGAATTCTGGTGGATTTTCTGAATCTGAAACGCAATAATTAGGGGTAGTTGGACTAGTACCCGAGACGGCGTGCGGTTTTAGTCGGTTCGAGTCCGACATGCCACCGACAGGTGGTATCCGAGGGGATTTCCGCACGGAAAAAAAAAAGAAAAAAAAAAGGGGTGGTTGGACTCTATAAGTCATACAGTCTATACAGTCTACAACAGTATTTCTACGAAACTTCGATATCGCCTAGTGCCTACTTAGGTTTGAATAGAACCAAAAAAGTGAAGTTCAGCCGCAACCAAGTTTGCGAAAAAGGATCAGAGGAAGATGGAAGAAATGTGTGTATGGTATGTATGGATGTAGGTATAAATGAATGTGTGTATGTATCCATGTATGTATCATCATCATGGGGTGCCATCCTCAAAATGAAGTTTGGAGGTCAGCAGACGGTACACCTCTCGATCATGAGCGGCCTCCTTTAGTTGGCGATATCGCAGTCCAGTCCAGGCCACGATGTCATCTATCCACTTCCTTCGCGTTCGACCTGGTGTCGTCCTGCCTGGTATTTTTCCTTCTAACAGAAGCTCCAGGAATTCATGGTGCGGGCCCCTTTGTATGTGTCCAAAGAAGGCCACCTTCCTTTTCGCTATAACAGCCATCATTTCTCTCCTGCACTTGGCTCGCTCCAGCACCTCTACGTTGGATGTAAAACTAGTCCACGGGATTTTAAACATCTTCCGCAATAACCACATCTCGAAGGCATGTTTGTATACAGATACGTTTACCTATATTTGGATTCTTTTGTTTGTAACCATTTCTGCTTTTCGCTGTTTCAGCAAGATTGTTTTTTTTATATGTATTTGGGAAGCTTTTTTTAATTAGTATTCATTTCTGCACCACCCAAATGTAGAATGGTAGAGTGGTATAAGTATATACCATTATAACGTAATAGCCAAGTCGGTTGGCATTTCTGTCGTGTGTTGGTAAATATTGTGTATTGACGTAAATAGTACGCGAAGTCTTATCTCTGATACGTGTCATTGGTTAATAGCAATTAAAATATTATAGACAGGCATGCGCTAACTATTAATGTTTTACTTTCACATACATTTAATTGTTTATGTATTAAATCCTAAAAAAAGGTTATGGAAACGAAGTTCCTTATCGCGGTCTGAGCGAATGGGAGCGGGACCGAAAAATGTGTAACACAAGGCTTTTTTTCGACACTTCGAGTTGTATAGCAAACGTCTACCAAAAAGCGAAAGGAACTTCGATCCGACCGGGGCCCATAGACCAATCACGCTGTTTTTTTCTTCTTGAACTTACTACCTTACCATACTTACCTTGACACATCTCAAACATAGCCATCTGACCCCAAACTAAGCAGAGCTTGTTCTAAGGTAACCAGGCTGATGACTAAAATAATTATACTCTACATTTCAAATTACATACATCCTTCTCCAAACCGTTTTCCTCTCGCACCTACTTCCACGACGTACAACGCAACGATATAACGATTTTTAGTTATTTCGTTGGTGAAGTCAATGTACTTGTTTGTTCGGCACCGTGATTCTACTAGTACTACACGCTTAATTGAAATTGCACAAAGAAATATGTCTGCTCTGAACACCGACGCACAGACATCCTTCGGTATTCTGTAATGATTTTCATACGTGTCCACTAATAATATCCAGTCACTGGTGGTATTTATAATCGAGTACGGCTTTTGTGAAGTCTTTTTTGTTGAGCCTTTTGTTGTTGAAATACTTCTGGGTGTATTCAACAAACCATTGTCCTGTTTCTCGTCGCAGTTTCTTACAGATAAGATTTCTCACAGATAGTAGGATCTTATATCTTAGATAACATAATTTTCGACAGCAAATTACTGAAATGATAGACAACAATCGACTGACCTCTTGGTCTAGTGGTTAGTGACCAGAACCAGAGAGCGTTGGTTTGGTAACACCCACCGGTGGGGTGGTTATGTCAGGCTCGAACAGACTGAAAACCGCACGCCGTCTTGGGAGAACGGAGGTCGTTCAGCCGCCTCCGGCGTCTGGCCGTTCCCGGGCCTAACGGGCCGGGAGGGTTCTAAACCTCTCCCGGTCCCGCTCGACCGTCGCCTTCGCAAGCATAACCTGTTTGCAGAAGAAGACAGCGAAGTTCCACGCGCTCACACTCCGTACAATGGCACCGAGCGAAATAATTCCCACTCCGATAGCCACCACGGGGCCACGCCTCTGCTCCAGACACGCCAGGCATTCTACCAGCGTGTGGTGCCCCGTGTCCACGGTCCGGTCATCGCTGTGGTGACTCAGGCGTTGGCTCCTTGCGGATCAGACACAGGTGATCTCCGAAGCATCCTTTCCCGGTGATCACCTGCGTCAGTCGGTATAAGAGGGTCCCGTGTTGCCTCTCAAGCCAATCCTGCATAATGGGTCTTCTTCAAATGGCGTGCTCAGGGTTCGATTTTCATCTAAACAAGTTTAAAAGAATCTTAACATATACTCGTATATACATAATATATATATCGTATGAAGTAAATAATAAAAGTAGTTCAATATATAAATTAATATACCTTTCAACTACTTTTTTTATATTACAGTCAGTCCTGTTAATACATATATAAATACCAGTAAAGACAAATATGTATAGTCTGTGTTTTATACACATACACGTAAATAAATACATCGTATATATGTCTTATCACCTCGGCTTGAGAGCACCTCCCTACCTGCCTCGGCCAGTATCGGAATCGGCATCGACATATCGAGCGACGTTCAGTTTTGGGGTTACTTAGAGGGTGAGGTCAAAATGACCTCAAAGAAGCTTAGTGTGCTGAACAAATCGAGGCAGTATTTCTCTTCGGCCCACCGCCTTCAGCTCTATAAGGCTCAAGTCCGACCGCATATGGAATACCGTCCTTATCTCTGTCTGCAGGGGCACCTCAGTACCAGCTTCTCCCTCTGGACGGCATCCAACTAATAGCGACTAGAATCGTCGATAGCCTAAACATCTCCGATCGTCTCGATCCCTTGGCGTTACGTAGAGATGTGGCTACACTCTGCATTCTCTATCGCATATATCATGGAGAGGTATTGTTTCTAAAAGGCCGGCAACGCGTTTGTGACTCCTGAGTTGCAGACATCATCATGAACAACGTACGAGTGTAAGTTTAATATAAAAATTAATATTGTTCTTAAGAAGCCTCAATTACAATTACGGTTGAATACTATAATATAAATCTAAAAATGATCTTCTAAGATTTTGTTAACAATTTCTCATCGATACAACCACAAACGAGCAGACGAGTCACCTAATGGAAAGTGACTACCACCACCCATGAGAGCCTGCAACGCAGGAGTCACAAGCCCGTTGCAGGCTTTTGAGGTCGTATCGGTCTTCGTAAGGAACTTCGATCAGATCGGGGTCCATAGACCCCTCACGACGTTTTATTTCTTCTTAAACACTCAACTTCTTGAACTTCTTGACACATCTGACACACGGCAATCTGACCCCAAACTAGGCAGAGCCTGTTCTACGGTAACCAGGCTGCTGATAAAAATAATT